GAAAAGAGTTGGGATATATAATTCACCATCATACTAGATGGAGTATTGAGGTGGTAGTATCTTTGGTGTTCATTACCAAACGTGTTATGGGGACGACCGGTTAATCGATAACTTGGATATGGGGTACATACATTGGGGGGATCCCTATGGACCCTCAGGGGTACTGGTAAGCAGGTAAAAAGGTAGTTTGCTGTTATTGATCATTTGAATATGAAATCACAATATTATTTAGATTATTGTCTTCATAGGTCGGTTTTGGAGACTCATAAGGGTAAGTATGAAATTACGATTTTTATATTAAATAAATTTACTTAAGAAAGTAAATGACTTCATTGGTGGTTTTATGATTTTTTACCAACCTTCAGTTTTCTGTATCAATGATGAGTGTGATATTCTTATTAGGATAGTGTACCTTATTTTTCTATTTAACTATTTCATATCAAGAAGACCATGATCCAGATCTTGAACAGTATGAGGGTTATGAATAAAGGTTACCTCTCATACCCCATCAGAGTTGCCTAGTAGAGGTTAACCCCATATAATTTTTATTTTATTTGTTTTAATTATTTATTTTATTACAATGAACTACTGAAAAAATAGACATTTCCGTAACCCTATTAGGCATCCTAATTCACTATGTAAGGAATGTAAATCCTAGATTCTAAATTGCTTCCACTTATAGTTGCTATAATTCAATATTTCCAATATCTTTGGCTTTGGACTTTTATAGTTGGTATCATAGCTGTGTTCCTCGAAACCATTTCTTATACAGAGATTTAAAATACTAAAATACAACTCGACACTCAACCCTTTCTTGTGAAATGCAAGTACACGTATATGAAGAGAGGAAGACCCTACTAAACCGAGTAGCCTGGGATGGGTCACTTTGAGAGGATGTTGATCGACTTTTCGAGATGTTGGAGAGACTTATCTCTGCCCAACAAACCCGGAAAGAGAGGAGGGAGATGTCTGACTATCCCCCACTGCCACAGTATGAGCCACCCCTCAATGAGAAGATCTAGTGTCACCTTGATACAGTCCTGCTTATCCACTATATCATCCGACACCACCACAGTACAATCTGGTGTCCCCACCATACAACTAGGTGTCGCGATAAGGCCACCCGATCCCTCCTCAACATAATGCAGTCCCTCTTTCACGGGAACTAGTTCTACCCATGATGGACCCAGACTACGTTAAGAGGTACGAGAGACTAAACCCATCTATCTTTGCAGAGGCATCCTCCTTCGAAGAAGCTAAGTATTGGTTAGCTGAGACAAAGAAGGACTTCGCAACTCTTGGGATGGTTCTTGAATAGAAGGTTGTACTTGCACCTACACGCTTGTGAGTGAGGCAGGTCGCTGGTGGCTGCTGAAGCAAGTCACCCTGCCCATTCCAATCACTGGAATAG